GGGAATACCAGCTGAGATTAGGAAAGATGACTCGTGCTGTGAAATGAATGTGGGTTGGTGATGTTGTAAGTCATCTGGCTGAAGACAGTCTATGAGTTAATTCCCAAAGTGACTGAATTATGAGTGTTTAAGTTTACACTCCCCACTAAAGTCATCCAGTCTTTCACAGAGCCTCATCTTTTACTGGCTCAGTTCAATAAAGATTTGAATTTACTGGTTTACAAGATCACTTTCTGTGTACATACAGGGAAATACTAATGTCTGTTATCTAGCAGTGAGTGGTACTCATGATCATAACCAGTAATAATTGGACCAAAGCAAACAGAAGATGAATGATTTCTCTTTTTTTGCTCATAGGCCTTTTCTGTTGCTGCCACCTTTAATGGAGTGGATGAGGGTGGCCATAGTTCATGCCGAGCATCGCAGGAGTTTATTAGTGGACAGCGATGATGTCAGACAGACGGCGAGGCTTCTCCTTCCAGGATTGGACTGTGAGCCGAGACAACTGAAGTAAGTGAGAACACTCGTTCACCTCGCTCGCTCTGCTGGGATGAAAGTGCTTAAAATAAAAATGCAAACCTTACTAATAATTTCAGGAAAAGAAAAACTAAGACTGATGTTTTATTTGAGCTGTCGTCTGTCGTTTAATCATTTGTATTTAGCAAATGATTGCATGCGGTAAATTAATGTTTGTTAACTATTGTGTGGCTCATTAACTTTACTTCTTTCCATAGAAAGCATCATTAACATATGTAAGCCACAAGGTGCATAAAACAAGCATCTTAGAAAAGCGACCGAGTAGATCCTAATAAATTAGCCATCAGCCAGAGAGCTCTCAGAAATTAATTGGTAACTGGTTATTTATTCACTTTTAATTTTTTTTCAGGCCCGAGTGTTGCTTCAGCTCCTTCAAGCGTCTCGACTCCAAAGCTGCCTCTGATAAGTTCCACCTTGATTTGGGTTTCCGGATGCTCAACTGCGGTCGCACAGATCTTATTGGCCAAGCAATTGATCTACTGGGACCAGATGGGGTGAACAGTATGGATGACCAGGTATTTAAATTTTACTTAATTGATGTTGTGGAGATATAAATGTAAGCCGTTAGCTCGAGCAAACCACCTCTCATTTGGGGACACAAAGCAGGCCCCTTATACAATACGATAAATCTCAAGCAAATTGCTGTAAGTCCATGAAATATCCTTAGAAGTGATGGAAACATAGCTTTGTGTTATAACTTGTTCAAAGCTTCATGCATTTGCTTCTACTCTTGTTTTCATTACAGGGTATGACCCCTCTGATGTACGCCTGCGCAGCTGGAGACGAAGCCCTCGTCCAGATGCTGATTGATGCTGGGGCCAACCTTGACGTGGCGGTAAATATGCTTAAGTATTTCCAATGTGGTCAAATCTGTCTTAATTTAAGCACATTTTGTATCCCTTTACATCTATAAACAGGAAAGGTTTCCATTATTAAAGCATGTAAGAGGCTCTTATGAATGTAATGTTTTCTCTGCGTGCGTGTGTTTGCGATCTTGGTGCGTAATACTGATTTAATCTGTGTTGCCAGGTACCACCCTGCTCCCCCAAGCACCCCTCTGTGCATCCTGATAGTCGACACTGGGCAGCCCTCACCTTTGCAGTGTTGCATGGACACATTTCTGTGGTGCAGGTCCGAAAC